GTGAACTGGAGGTTAAAGTGTGCCCTCATCTAGGAATTTATTTATCCCATCACAGATCTTCCTCAGGTTAAGTCTGTACTCTTCAGATGGGCCGTACAGCTTGGTCAGGAAATCCACATCTGCGAAATGGTTGAACACATGGTCGATCCGCGCGTGGGAGCGTGCGGTCAAGTGGTGCTCCACCAGCTCATGGAGAAGGTCCCTACATTCCATCAGCAGCTCGGAAAGAATGCCACGGTCGAATGTGTACTCCACCTCGTAAAAGCTCACCACCGTCATGGCCGCCTGGTTCATCTTCTTTTTGAAGCGTTCGACGGTCTCCATCTCGTCAGGACTGAATTGGTGGTTTCGGTAGAGAATGCCAATCTTCAGGGCAATCTTGATGACATCTTTGATGATCTTGTGAGCTTCCTTCTTGCTTTTGGTGTATTCACGACTGGCCTTGTAGAGTTCGTCCAGAATCTCGCTGCTGGTATCATCTGTGAGGAGATTTGCCACGGCCATGGTGGCCATTTTACTCAAGATCTTCTTTTGGGCCTGAAGGGCCAAACTCTTGGAGTTGAAGCTCTCTTGCCCTATACAAACAAAGAAGAAAGTAAAGTTAGCCACTCCAAGAATTAGTTTTTTCTATCTCTCACATAAGTCAGTTTGAATGTCAACAATGTTCAGTTTTCTACAGAACATTGTTCTGTAAATGGGCTGCAGCGTTTTGAGTACCCAGGTCAAGGGCGGTCTAACAGACATCTTTGTCAATATAATACCATGCTGAAAGGCTTTAAATATAAAACATTCCATCTGTCTTTCAACATGTTTTGCTCAAATAAGTGTGGGTGTTTTTCTGAACCTTTATTATTGTGGATACCTCTATTCAGTTATTGTCAAATTAAATGTTCTAGCATTTTTAAAAGACTGATACGTTCCTTTGATGTTGAATTCTGTATCTCCACTCTTAGGCCCCGTCCACACGGAGACGCGTTTAGCTGTATACGCATAAATTTTGTATCGTATAGGCGTTTCGTCCACACGGATCCGGCGTTTTGGGAGAGTGAAACCGATATTTTTTGAAACCGGGTCCCAGATTGGATAAATCTGAAAACGCTGCCCTTGCGTTTTCGTGTAGACAGCAAATCCGTATATTTTCTGAAACGATGACGTTATCAGCCCACGTCTTGCCCCTAGTCAGACACCGCTACATCACGTAACAGCAACAAAAACATGAACAAACACTGAACAATTGTCTTTTTATTAACTAACATTAACACAGATTAATAAATGTATTGTTCCATGTTCGTTTGTATACCGCGCGCAAGGTTTATGCACATAGTCCAAATCTTCTCTGTTTTTAGTGTATCTCTGTGGCAGAATTACAGCGCCACATACAGGTCTGGCATGTATACTTGTATACTTTGTGTCGGTTTCGTGGTTTCGTGTGGACGCAGATATTTCTTGAGACGAGGGGAAAAAAAAGATCGGATAGGGAAAACTCTGGCTTCATGTGGACGTAGCCTTAATTTCGAATCTGAATAAAATGATGAGATGTTTTTTAATAATACATTATTGATATATTTATTTAATTTGTGCTGATTTACTACAGAAAAGGATGGAGAAAGGAGATGGAAAAATAAGAGTGCTTAGTGACATCAGCAAAAAAAAAAAAAATTACAAATAATAATTTCAGGCTGAGCAAGTTTTGATGAAATATTAGAAAGACAATTTATTTATCTGTTTGCACAATTATAAAATGAGTTAGAAAAGGTAGAGCATCACTGGCCAATGCAACTGACTTTCTGTAACAATGATGTTTATAGTCTTTTTAAGAGCGACTTTATTGAGCCACTATAGGTGTGTCATAACCGTATTGTGGGCAAATGGATGGCAGCAAAGCTGTTGATTTACTAATGATGTATAGAGTGTCTAATGGATGAAAAAAAAATGGATTGCATTCAGGGAAGGCTGAGGGGTTTATGAATCTCATGCGGGATTCCGTGACTTGAGAAAAAGATTGATGATGGTCTAGTTTTGGCAAGTTTCTCTCTCTCTCCCTCTCTCTCTCTCACACTCTCTCTCTCTCTTGTTTTTTGGTGAAATGTCAACTCTAGAAACAACTAATATGAACATGTATACCAGTGTTTCCAGATATTTGTCACCCTTCACCATACACAATATATGGATTTTAATCTATATGAAATTTAAACTGTACCATTTTTTAACGGCATTATTTATTTGAAAAAAGTTTTTTATACTTAAATATCTTTTAATATTATATACTGAAATACAATTTATTATAAAACAATTGTGTTTTGAACAATTTTAAGTTGGTTTAAAACAGTTCTTGCTTCACTTTGTTTCAGACGTCACTGAAATTCAGTATGTTGGTTCAATAATCGCTCTGTTCATTTAATGAATTATATTTTCTGACTTATTGAAATCATTTTATTAAAAGAACCAGCTCATTCGAGTCATTTGTTGGTGAATCAGAATACACTGTTCAGGTTGTGTTACTTTTTGCATGCAGCCCCTAAAGACAGCTCAATAAAAAGATGTTTTCTTGCCATTGAATAGTTTTTTTTTTGCATACAGCTCAGACTACAAGCTAAAAACTCTGAGATATTTCTTGCCGTGGCACTGTAGATCCAGCAGGGGTGAAGAGCAGTGCAGGAAACACTTGTGTGTACTGCACATTAATTTCTGGGGAAGTACACACTCAAATGCCTCGCAGAAGTACTTTTCAAGAGCTCTCATGTTAGAATGCTGCAGAAATTCTTTCTGTCTTGCCATGTTCCTCTTTTTGCACATGTTTGTGTTGTATTTTTGCATCATCTAATAGACCGTCACTCTTAAAAATAAAGGTGCTTCACGATGCCAGAAGAAACTTTTTTGTCTAAATGGTTCCATAAAGAACCTTTAAAGGGTTAGTTCACCCCAAAATGAAAATTCTGTCATTAATTACTCACCCTCATGTTGTTCCAAACCTGTAAGACCGTCGTTCATCTTCGGAACACAAATTAAGATATTTTTGATGCATTCTGAGAGCTCTCTGACCCTCCCATAGACAGCAGCTGGTGCAGCTGACACAGAATAGCATACATTGTTTACGTTCAGTGGATACTCTCCAAAATGGCGCCAGGGACATGGATTATTTTACCGATCTCCTTGCTACGTTTCTGGACCTTGATCGTGTTAATTGCATTGCTGTCTATGGAGGGTCAGAGAGCTCTCGGAATTCATCAAAAATATCTTAATTTGTTTTCTGAAGATGAATGTAGGTCTTACGGGTTTAGAACGACATGAGGGTGAGTAATGATAGAATTTTAATTTTTGGGTGAACTATCCCTTTAACATCTGAAGAACCTTTCTGTTTCACAAAAGGTTATTTGTGGTGAAAGAAGGTTCTTCAGATTATAAAAAGGTAAGAAACAGATGGTTCTTTAAAGAACCTTTGACTGAATGGTTCTTTGTGGAACCAAAAATGGTTCTTCTATGGCATCGCTCTGAAGAACCTTTTAAGCACCTTTATTTTTAAGAGTGTTTAAATGAGTTTGAATCAACCAGGATGTATGTTATTGTGGGATTACAAATGTAAGAATCTGTTTAAAATATGCTGATCCAGCGCCACGCAGAGTGTTCTCAATAAAGTACTCTGCTGAAGATACCCAAGAGTCTCCTGGTCTCTGCTTCGACGAGGAAAAAGTTTCCTACATTATCTAAAATAGAAACTGTTTGTATGTTATTGGTTTAGTCAGACTTTGTTTTAGACCCCGATGTAGGCAGTAGACAACAAGGCAGCTCGCTATGGTGACCGTATACGTCCATCATAATGTGTAATATCTCAGGGTTTTGTGAGATGAGTGTGTGGGTTTATCTTGGGCTGAGCTGGTGAGATGGCACAGGGAGGGGGGTTTTGTTTTGTCGTGTTTATCTGTAGGAGGCGTGGGCAATCTGAGAGCAAATTTTATTTAGATACCTCTTAGTTCAAATTACACACTACAGACGTGATTAACATTACACAAACAAATTCAGAAAATCTGTTCTTTCCTGGACTCCTCTGCAGAGAGCCGTCACTCTCGTTTACTGCCTCACACAAAGCACTGTTATATGTCAGCGGGGTGGTCTGGAAAATACGTCATTTGAGAATGCCACACAAATGCCCGACCCAGGCTCCAGTCTCTTTTATTTCATGTAAAAAGAGCCAGAGTGAAGTTGACCTCTATGCGCACACATGACTGCCAGGTGAGATGGTCTGACCTCGAACTGACCGAGGCATGACCTTTAGCTAGTGTCTCTGCAGGAATGATGATGTTCACTCTGAATGACAAACTGATTTATGCTTACTGCTCTTGTAGCTCAGCTGGTAGTGCATGACACTAGCAGCACTGAGGTCATGGGTTTGATTCTCTAACGTACTTTAAAAAGAGTATTTATTACAGAAATAATATACTTTAAAGGAATATAATTAAGTGCAAAATAAATGTGTTTTTCGACACTTAATTGCAAGTTGTTTACAATTAAATAAAAATGTATTATAGTTTAATTTTATATTAAATACTTTAAATGCTTATATTAAATATATTTATTTTATATGAAATAAAACTGGTTGAAATACGAGTGCTTTTTTATCCACTTACTGTAAGTAGAACTTAAGTACATCTCTATACATAATTTCATAATTGCTTATAATACTTTTGAAATATGGTTTTCATTTACATTTATGGTAAATTAAAATATACTTTAATGTCATTTCTGTTGAAACTTGTACTGTATGTCATGTATTTATATATTTTTGTAATGACACATTTATTACCATTTAGTACATTTAAAATTCAACTTTAAACGTAATATCAAATAACACACTACAGTTAAAATTACAAATAATAAAATAATAATGTAATGTAAAATAATAATATAATAAAATGTACTTTTAAATAAAACTTTTAGTTTGACATTATTACAGCATTATTTAACTGCAAATTTTAAAAGTGTATTAAAGTTCATTAAGAAACAAAAGTGTAGTTAGTTTTTTTTAATAATAATTAAAGTACACTACAAGTGCACTTTCATTGCAGTTACGTGTACTTTTTATTTTTAAAGGACTGGAAAAAATGTATATATATAATAGTTAGAGTGACAGTATAAAAGCAGACTATAACAAGCTGTGCTGTTTTGTGAAAAATGGCAAATAAAAAATCATGTTGCTATTCTGGCATTTGTGTTTCCAGTGAAGAGATCTTGGTTGGCATTTCATGTTGGCATCATTTAAAGGGTTTATATTGTATGAAACCCCGCCCCCCCAAAAAACAAAAGGTCATTTTGAAACAAAAGGGTATAATGCACTAGGTCAACAGTCTAATACATTGTCCTAACCAGGCATGACACAATACATTTTAGCGACAAGTAATTTATCTTTCCACACTGAAAGCAGAAATGGTGTGCGACCTGAAGCACAGCTGATCAGAGTATATTTGATGTTTAATATACAACTGAATGGAGCAGGCTTTTGGACAAATTAGATTTCTCTTTGGACAAGGCTACCAAATGCACCAGAAATAGAAAGCAGACCAAATGTTGTGTTGCTTCA